TTTTTTACTTTGCTTTTGAAATTTAAGGTGTTATTGCTAAATGAGCTAAAAGAGATCTAATTGCCTACATTTTCATCTAAATAGAAGACAAAAGCAGCTAAAGTTAGAACCAACCATCTTTGCAGTCGTCACTTAACTAATAGCCTTCGCTTCTCCATCTGTGTAAAATAGAATCGTTGCCACTGACCCCAAAGGGTGGTTTGCGGATCAAGTGAGCAGAATGTCTATCTGTAAGATTCTTGCCTTCAGAAAACGCCAGTTCTGGTAGTGAGCACTTACTACCTACCTGCGCTCCTGGTGTGCATAAAGCGACATTTTACTATCAGAATTCCCTTCCACGTGGCATACATAGTAAAAAAGATTTAGAAACTGCCTTGAACTAATGAGGATGATGCAATGAACTCTTGGTCCGTGATTTTCTTTAGGTCTCCTGTCCTTTATCATACTTAGGGAAATATGTATTAACATTGACTGTAGGATGCAGTTACTCATTTTGAATGTGTATTTTAGATGATAAATCAAAAGCTCAAGACATTGAAATTTGTGGTGACAACCACAACATACCAAATCAGACCTGGCATACACAATTGTGAGTATTTCAGGCAGGGGTTACAAACCCATTTACCTACAGGGCCAGGCAGGTAAGACACATATCTTAAGCAGCCATGCATAAGACAACGAGAAATAGTGGGGCTGGAGCTAACAGCCCCTACCCTTCTTGAAAGCATTTATGTTAAAACAAAACAAAGCAGAACACAAATGAGCAAACAAACACCAAAACACTGTTCTGGCTAGTTGCCTGTGATTTCATTCTGTGAAGAAGGTGATGTAACAAACAAACAAAAATAAGCTGTTGGTGAAGCTTATTTGTGACATTTAGGAAAACAGATTCAAGAGTTATTAAACCACACATCATGTGATTTTCCCATCCAAGAACAGAAGGATTGGATATTATTGGAATTGAGCACTAAGGGTCATTCTTTGTTAAAAAAACAAAAACCAAATGTAAACCTTAGAGATGGAAATGGTCAGACAATTAAAGGTCATCCTGCCATGGGTTCACATTATTGAAAGTGTAGTGAGTATCTGGCTTTAAACTGACTGCTTTGGGAAACTGGGATTAAGAACTGTTGTTTGTTTTGTTTTGTTTTGTTTTGTTTTACCATAAAAATCCTAATTTCATTAGGTATGGGAAATTTTGTGGCCAGCCCTGTCTTTTGCTGTGAACTTTGTCCCAGTGTACTTGTTCTTTTATTTTAAAAAGGTTATTTCCTGCTTGAACTTCATTCTCCTTTTGTAGCAAAGTTCTGTCATGTCTGGGAAATCTTAAAAGATTTTGTTGTAAAACCAGGGCTAAATTTTAATAATTATTTATTCTTTATAATTTGCCTCTTTTTTAAGCTTTTGTCTAATTTTTTCAAATTATCAGAGTCAGGCTTTTTGAATCTCAAGCATTTGGCTTTCCAAGTCTTTTAAAATGTTTTCTTGTATCTTTTAGAATAATTTTGTCTTTGTAGTCCCTATACTTGATAATTGCCAAGTAAATATTATTTTGACGTAGGCCTGCAACATTTATCAACACTTCTCTATTTGTTGCATTAAAGCGAAAATTCTTTACTTCAGTGTGATGTAGAAGAAAAGGATCAAATTTTGGAATAAGCAGAGAGGACTGTAAGAGATAACTGAAATTTGATTGGATTCATTCTGTTTCAGAAATGTGCTTAGATGGAATGTAGAATAGTTTCTTTGCTTTCACTGAACTAAACCCTAGAATACCCCACTTCACATTTCTGGGCCAGTTACTACAACAACTTACTTTTCCACTAATCTTTAATAAGTTTGCTGCTAAGATTTCAACTTGCCATGAAAGTATTTGCAAGCACATTAACATAAAAATGACACTAAATTGTTAAATCCAACACTTACTTAAATTGGTTAGACATATCACATATTCAATTTAACTTTCTCTCTGAGAAAAGTTAGTAACTGGTGAAAAAGGAGAATTAAAACTATGCATATATTTCCGTAAATGTTTTTAGAATATTAGAGAATGGCTTGTATTACTTGTTAAATATTTTATTCCCTGCATTTCCAGTTATTTTTGAGTCACATATATTACCTGATGATTTGCTAAATTTTCCATTAAGAAATAGGGTCATCAGCATGTTAATTGCCTTGTTATATTTACGCCAGATGTTTTAAAGCTCAGCGTGGACTGCTTCAGCAGCCCAACTTGCTCCCAAGAAAATGAGATTTGGGTTTACAGTGTGAGCTATAATCTGATTTTTAGTTTGTCTGAACCAGGTACTTAGCATAATTTGAAGCTTACTATTCAATTCCCTAGAGGAATGGCAGAAAATAGAAATGAACTTTGCGGGCATATAATAGCATAAAGGGTCAGCTGGGGATGTGAATTTTTCCACTTTTAAATTCCTCAGAGGACAGTAACACTGCCCTGTCCCCCTTCCCCCAGTAAACCCTGGATACTTAAAGAATTCTTATTACTAAGATGTCACTAGCAGAGATTACTCTATTGCCCTTTGGGCCACATCTCCTCCCCACTTCAGATTTTGAGGTAACCTAGACCTGAGTCAGGATCAGCTTCTTGTAAAGATGGCTTTCAGGGTAATCCGACCCCTCGATGCCTTCTTCTTTCGTGGCTGGTCCTTGGATATTTAGAGGTGACAGGCTTGATTAATTATTAATAGCAGCTCTTGCTCTGCCTGTTACTTTATCTCCACTATAGGTCTGCATGCATACCAAAGGCTAGGCAGAGCATTAACCGGGGGAAATTGATCTGGAAGTTAACATCCTCCTATCTGGGATGGGATGAGGTTTCCTTTCTGTCTCCCTCCCTCCGTTCCATCCATCTAACCCCCGATATCCCATGAGAGGAAGACAATCTTTGGTAACATAAAGAAATGGGAACTTGGTTAGCATAATAACACATCAAAATTGTGGAGATGATAGTCTGTTTTGCAGGTGGTCCCTTCCTAACAAAGAGAAGGATTTAAAGCTTTCTCCCAGAAAGACACAGTAAGAACACGCTAATGCTCAGTCTCACTGTAGTGACTGGGTCAATGGGCAGAACCTTAAGATAGAACTGGGACACCTAGACAGGGCCAGAGGAATAAAAAAGACCAAGGAGATCACGGGGCTTAGGAAGGTAAGAAAAAGGAGGGACCAGAGAGAAGGGATTTCTGAAGTGGATTCTGTAGGGGTTGAAGTAGATTCCATGGAAAAGGTAAGAAAGTCTTTTGAATGATTTTCTGGGGTAAGTGTGTATTCATGATCAGTGAGTTGTAAATCGGTTTCATTTCTGATACTGAACTGCACCTATGCATTTTTGCAGCCACTGCAGGTGAAACTGAGGGTCTATACAAATACAGGGAGATTCTAGCTCTGGACGAAAACAGAGCCTGCTGGTTGGACCTATGTTTTTTGGGTCTTTTTGGTAGTGAGCCTCTGCAGTCAGTATCATCAAATTATCACATGAGTTGAAAACTCAGTTATTTCCCTTTTATATTAAAAAATCCAGTTTGGAAACTCTGTTTTGTAGATAGTCAGGATCCATAAGCAGAATATGCACTAGTTAAAGAGTGTAGAAGATTCGCTCTGGTTTGCAAGAAGCAATTTTCCTTCTGGAGATTGTCCATTAGTCTGGGAGCAAAACCATCCCTAAACCAGCGTGCCTTAAAATGAGGTTCCTGGAGTATGTTCATCAGGAGCACCATGTATGTTTGTTAAAATGTATATTCCTGGGCCCTGAACCAGAGGCCAAGCGTGTGCATTCCTCCTGATTTCTCATGCTCAGTATATTTGGAAATCTTTGCTAAAACAGATCAGGTTTACACCACATTCACCCACTTTCTCTCTTCCATTTCCCATCTCTCATTATAATCAGCCTTACATTTAAGAAAATTCTGTGTGTCTATGAACTCCTGGATGATAAAAATTATGGTTCTCACGTTTGCTATGATATTTCTAACATCTGTGATTGTGCTTGGAAGACAGAAGAGTTTTGATGAGCATTTGTTCAACTGGTTGAATTAAATTGAGAAGCAGCAATACAGTCATATTTATGCAAGAAATAGAGCTGTTTGCCTGAGACATGCTGTGCCACAACAGTGAGAAATAAGTACTAAAGTCTTCCTCACAGTGCCTACTTGCTGCCTTTGAGTGGGAAACATTTCATTAGAGGGGGATGGGTGGGAGAGGACTATGAGATGATTCCTTCTATTCCATTAAATACAGGGTAGCTTTCCGTTGCCCATTCTCCAGTTTTCCTACCAGTCTTTTGTGCTGTTCACAGCTCACTGGTACAATCATAACAGAGAATGTATTTTGCTTTGGTCTTAGTCTTGCTCCTAAGGGAAAAAAATCAGTGTTGTGTGTTTTCCCAGGGAGATGCTGTACCAGGACACTTTTCCCAAAGGACCCCAGCTCTGATTCATCCATTCTTTATTATACTTTTATTGCTTTAGTTTTATTTCCTTCCTATCCTTGCTACTGTTAATAAAATGCATGGAATAAAGAAATAAACTCCGGAGGACAGGAAAGGACAGACCTCATGGCCATTCCCTCTGCCGGCAAAGGTTCTGCTCTCTGGTCCTGTGACATCGACCAGTGTGAAGCTGGCCCTCCATGGCGCCTTCTGTTCACAACAGAGCTGTGTACTTCCTCTGCCCTGCCGTCTGACAAACCTCTGTCTATTACGAGGACGACACTAAATTCTTTCACTGTCTAGTTTTATGTTCCTCTCTCCCCAGCTGTTAGCAGGAATGTATAAAAACATAGTCTTCTATAGCTGTCTAAAGGGGAGACATTCAGTGTTTGCTTCTGAACACTTCCTTTGTTTTGTTTCTTTCCAGTACAAACATTCTAGGATACATTCAAACCCACGAATGAACTTGAACTTTGCCAGTGAGGAGACTACCTGGGTTCTGCACTTTACCCTGATGACACTTAATAAACTTTTATTATTTTCTTATTGGGAATCTTTACAAATCCTCATCAGAGACTACAGGAGTGATGCTTCTTGGGGTTTTTTGTAAACATTCTGGAAGGTCCTCGACCTCTTGAGAAGGACAGAGTCTCCGCTCAGCTTCCAGCTGCTGAATCTTCCTTTCTTTTTCCTCTAAAACTTCTTCCAGCTGAGTGATCTTCTCAGTCTGAAGGGAAACCTGGGTCGACAACTCCGTAATCAGGCTAATTTTTCTATCACCTTCTTCCACAGGTGGGAGACCTCCACGGAACTCTTCCATCAAGTTGCCTTCTAAAGCAAACAAGAAAAGGAAAGCCTGAGCAGTTTAAATTGGAATTCCCAGAACTCGAAGACAGGAAAGACGCAAAAGCTTCATTTCTCACGTTGTTAAAAGAGAACACAGATGTTACATCATCTGGTTAGATACCCTGAGAATAAAATCTGGACCCAGTGAGGGGAAAGATTCTGGGTGCTCATGAAAAAAGAACTTGGAAGTCTCTTGAGAATAAGGAGAGTCAGCCCTGCCAACTCTTTTTTATACACATTTAACTTCCAATTAAGCATGGGAATGAGCTGTCCTTGAAAATCCAATCTACAAACAACAGCCATCCCAAGTTTCATGCTATTCTTTCCCTAAGAATCTTTCACAAGAGCTACAATCAAGTAGAATTACACTTCAATTTGAATTTTAATTCGACTGCAAAAAAAATAGGTTGTCTTTGCCCTTTCTGGGGAAAATGACAATGAAAAAAACCTAGTTTCTTAACCCGAGTCAGCTTTGGAGTTGGCAGGGGTGTAATTTGAAGTGATCTGAGAAAACTCTATTAGCATGATATCGTCCGTAAGATTCATCTCTTTTAGGCCTGAAGGTTTTTCAGCATTTCTTAATAAAATCACAAATACCTCCTGGACCTGAAAACATTATCAATTTCTATCAGCTAACCCCTCGAGTAAGGATAAAGGCCTGAGGGAGGAGGGAGAGAGAGGCTCCGTAAATGACAGGGAGCCCTTGAGAACAAACCTCGCTAGCCCACCGGAAAGTTGAGCTCCTCAAAGTAAACCCCGCCTTGCTAGCCTTTAGCAGTACCGTCCTCCCTGCCACTCCTGAAATTTCCATCATTACATTTCTCGGAGCTATGTACAAGGCAGACTTAGGTATAAATAGTAGGGATGTCAGGGCTTGGGTATCGTTTCGGGAATGATGGCTCCGATAATGTACGAATGAACCGACACGTGGTCTCTACAATTGACCGCTATAATCAAAGGTCCAGCACTCACGCCATCCCAGCGAAACAAGTCCCACAGCTGTACCTGAGAGAAACATTACTGTCGGTTCCAGATACAAGTGCCTGCTACTATTGGGTACCTGCACGCCTGCTGAAGACGGGGCAGCTTTGCTGCGGTAGTGTATGCACGCAAGGGATCACCCGTTTCTCAGCAAATAAAATGCATTGGCAGGCATCATTTCCCAGGAGAGCATACAGTAAAAGCTTGAGCACCATATTGTACAGCAGGCAGGATGTTTTTGGCTTCACAAAAGTGATCATAGGAGAGATCAGGTTATTCTCTGCTCTTATAAATTATTATAAGTGATTTATTAAATTATAAGGATCCATGGATAAATTTTTGTTTTGAATTTCTACTACAGTATTTAAAATGCTAATAATAATATTTAAGGAAATGTTGGTTTGAGTAGCTTTTATAGGTTAAATAAGAGCAATGAAAAAAATCTCAAATTTCAAAGGAACATTTAGTTCATTGTCTTTGCAATAAGCTTGAGCTTTCCAGCCCAGAAGAAGGTCCACACGGCAGGAGGCCTTCCTCATCTGCTGGTCTGCCAGGGCCTCGCCTTTCCTTTCATACGGCCTCCAAGCTGTACTGTCTGACACGGTAGCCACTAGCCACATGTGATCATTGCGCAATTGAATGTGGCTAGTCTGAATTGAGATTGCTATAAGTATAAAATACATATTTGATTTCGAAGATTTCATTTAAAAAATGTGAAATATCTCATTAAATTTTTTACATTGCTTGTGTATTAAAATGATATTTTGGATATGTCGTGTTAAATAAAATATATTTTGAAATTGGTTTCATTCATTTATTTTTACATTTTTTAAATGTAGCCAGTTGAAACTCGCGAGTGGGAAGACACTGAGGAAGAGTGGAGGTGCGGGCAGGGCGGGCATGCGGGGGCTTGGTGAGGCGCAGGGGCGGTGCGCTGGGCCCTCTCCCTCAGCTGCGCCTGTCTGCCATCTCCATTCTCGTTGACCTCTCCTTCCACCTCTTCTCTCCCCAGTCTTTCCTCTGCTTTCAGAGGAAGTTATTTTGAACCAATTTATAAAATGAAGGATTTTCATGCCACTCTGGTCAAACTGATCAACAAGTTTTCTTTTTTTTAGATAATGAAGTATAGGTAGAATACTTTGTTCACCTAGTGCTAACGACAAAGTGGCAAAAAATGCAGCAGGTGGCATTACACAGGCATCCACAGTCACTAGGCCTGCCACCTCTGTCTGGAAGAGAGTAAGAGAGGAAGGAGGTAGAAAGAAAATGGGAGGAGGAGAAGCAGGTGTCTCAGTCTGCTCAGGCTGCTATAACGAAACACCACAGACTGGGTGAATCAAACAACAGAAATTTATTTCTTATAGCTGCTGGGGCTGGAAGTCCCAGCTCCGGGTGTCAGGATGGCAGGTGGCAGTGAGGACTCTTTCACTGGCTGGCTTCTTGCTGCATCCTCACTCGGCTGTGAGGGAGAGAGACCAAAAGCTCTCTCGTGGCTCTTCTGACAAGGACACTCACTCCGTCATGAAGGCCCTGCTCTGATGACCTCATCTAAGCCGAATTACTTCCCACAGGCCCCATCTCCAAATATCAGCACGTTGGGGATTAGGGTTTCAACATATGAATTCCTGGGGCACATAATTCAGTCCAGAGCACGGGGAGAAGACAACTGGAAAAGGAGTAGAGAAGGAACGTGAAGCAGAAGAGAAGAGAGCTGGCGCAAGGGCTTGGGTTCCCGCTGTGCCATCGCGTGTGTGAAGTGAAAGTGCTGTAGGGGGACAAGCGAACACCACGGACACCAAAACAGGGAATTTCCCATACAAGTATATTTTGCTATTAAACAACGTCTCTACACAAATAACACAAATATTTTTGTTCCATTTCTAAACACATTACAACTAACAAAAGTGTTTAAAACTCTTCAACAAAGTAGAGAATTCTAAGAGTGTCACATCCTATTTGTATTGGAAAGTGTCCAAGGCCAACCCAGCGAGTTTTCTGGACTCCACCACTAACCACGCTACTTTTCTCTCCGTGTGCAGGCTCCCTGATCTGCGACGGGAAGGGGCATGTGTCCCCGTGATCCTGGCAGCTCTTCCCCAGATCTCGAATACCCGTGGTCTTTCCTAAGCTTCTGCTCGCAGCTCAGTCTTGCCAAGGCTGTGGCTGCCTGAAGCTGAGAGGCGCCGTTATCTGACCAGGTAATCTCAGCCTCAACTCCACACCCAGAGACTCCAGGTGACCCAGAGATTGCAACAAGAAAGGCCCTTTTGTGTGTGTGAGAGAGGGGCAGACCCGATTAGCCACAGTCGGTATGAACTCATCATTCTCACCGCCGCTGCGGAGGTTCTCACGGGCACACACCATTTGTCGCCACTGCCCCTCTTTCTGCCTTTGCTTAGGATAGAAATGAGGCAGGCGTGAGAATGAGGGTTTAGGGTCATGGCAAAAAGGTGACAGGAGAGGGATGGTGGAAGTCGGGCAGGTTCTGAAAGATTTAGAAAGAGTGGAGACAGGAGGAGGTTTCTGCCTGAGACTGGACAGGCTCTGCTCACTTTTCTGTGTCAGCCTTGAAAGACCAAGGTCCAGAAGAAATTGTGACATTCGTCTTTGGCCATTTCTAGCTTCCCATTCTTCACACCCTCAAAATCTTCATGCTTTCAGTGAAGTGCCACATGAGAGTTAAGTCAAAAATGACTACTAATAAGCAAATAGGTAACAGCAGAGGTAACTGTAGTTGAAGCTCAGAGACTGAGGGTTGGAATGCATTTTGGGGCTCTCTGGTCCCGCCCGCCACCCAGTACAGGAATTATTTCTGAAACAGCTCTACGAGGATTTTCTGAGCAGGTGGCTCTCACACACTGGTGTCCCTCAAGCTCTTCATAGGTTGGCTGTTAAACTGTAATCAATGAGTAGAATCTGCATTTTGTCATCGCTGTAGCGGCACACTGTTATGGGGAGATCTGGTGGGTGGAAACTTCCACAGATAGGCTGGGAGCACAGCGGGGCACAACTTGTTGCTAATCGAAGAAGGTGTGGCGTCATACTAGGGCAAAAGAGCTGGAACAGGTGGAAACATTGCTTCATGACTCCAGGAAGTTAATAGTTTTCTGTAAACAGTGATACAGGGCTGAAATGTAACCCAGTGAATGGCAGGAAGACTTTTTAAAGATTTTCTAAATACTTCTTTCTAAAGAGGCACGTTCCCCATTAGATCCTTTTACTGGTGCCACAAAAAAGCATGCATTAAACAGAGAAATGCTGAGAGCCACCGATCTAGTTTCTGATTCAAATACCTCTCGCAGTTGTTCCCAGCCAGATCACAAGCATCCTCCGTCGTCATCGTTTTGTTCATTCATTCATCAGTCACCAGTGACGGGGACACACGGAGAATGACTGGGATGTGATGCGGCCCCGCAGTGGCGCGGGGAAGAGGCCGCACTGAGTCACCTGCGAACGCGTTCAGGATCGGCCTGAACCAACACCTCCGCTAGGCGCTCTCTCGCCAAAGTTTACTTTTCTCCCTGCCCTGAAGTATTCACTCAACAAGAAAGACCCTCCCCGGTGAGGTGAGGAGATGCCTCACCCGGCCAGAGCTGCCCGGGCTCCTGTGGGCCCGCGCACGGAGCGTTTGTCTGCGACCACCGGGGAGCCCAGCTTCACCTCCCGCCATCCTCGGACTTACAAATCGGCACATCTTCGTGAACATATCCTTCCCACGCCAATGCGAAACACAAGCAGCACAACGACAGCAACCGTCCTAGCTCTCTACAGTGAGCCTTAGAGGGTATGGCGATCCTCTGAAATAAATGATTGATTGCTTTGCATTCTTTTGGTACAAATATTTTATCTCTTAAAAACCAGATTAGTCTTACAGCTTGAAGTTTTCTCCATCCTCCCCCCTCAACGTTTTTATCTGTACGAAGAAAGCAGTCTCGATAGCACCAAATGACTGACTTCAAAGGTGTTTCGGGATCCTTCCACTAAGGCTGCGAGCACTTAGAATG